GTACATATGAAACATACAGAAGAGCTGTATTAATTCTCATTAACAGCATGAAACTCATTTGAACAACCAGTTTGTTTTAGAGACAAGGTATATTCTTTTCTGGTAATTTCCATTTACCTGACAAATGTAGTTTTGCAACTCTTTATGCTAACCACACTGCTAGTGTGTGTCATAACATTTACATTCCTCCAAACTCACAGATGAATATTCTACAAATTATTATTCTTCAGGGTCTACTGAAAGAATTTTGAAGACATAGTAGAAAGATCACTGCCCCTGAAGAAAGTGACCCAGTATTATATGGAAAATCTTGGAGCTGCAAGAAATGTTATTCTTGGCTATGTTGCTTTCTTTGAAGAGCACATAATGGTATGCATTTCACCTTTTGAACCCCAGCCTCAGCATTTATCGTATATTGGAATATATGATTGTTTGATTGAACCAGGGAGAATCTGTCAAAATTAAATATGCCTTGAAAATAAGATAAAGCTTAGTTTCAAAAACCTTGTCATAAAGAATTCCTAGCTATGATAATTGTTAAATTTTTGCTAATTGAGAAATGCAACACTTTGATTTACAGTTTGTGAGTGACCTGTTTGACAGGGGAACTTACATACGTGATTATGGCTCTAAAAAGGAAACAGTTTACCTTGATGAGACAAAAGGTAAAGGCTGCTGAGGTCAATATGCCTAACAACTTAATTTTGGTACATCACATTAACTGTAGATAGCTATTAATGATTACACTGTCACACAGTGAACTACCAATCTCCAGTGTGACACATGGAATCTAAGTATAGAATTTCCATCCACTTAAGTGAACTGTTTTGTCTTTATTGTTTCTTCTTTGTTGTTTGTCCTGCATTGGTGTTCGTAGTGGTGTTCACATGAAATAATTTTTCAAATTAAGTAAATCTTGTGTTCATTCTCCAAAAGAGCTTAAAGCCTTTTTGCTTAAACTTGAAGAGTGGTGGAAAAAAAAAACAAAATGAGGTGGAAACAGCATTCCTTAAGCAAGAGGAAATGTCAAATGCTGAAGAGCCAGGCAAGGAAAAACAAAAAAGAGGGAGAAAAATTCAGCCAGGGTTTCTACTGTCCTCTAGTCCTTTTGCCAAATATGCAGCTGAACTTCAAATTGAGATGTTTTCAAAGGTAAGTTGAGAAAATTGTCTATGTTTAAAATCCCACATCAGTAAATGTTATTTAAAGGTTTGTCTGGTGCAGTAAGTCACTTTGCAGGTAATTTATATCAATTAATCAGGGCTGAATTGAAGACTGATGATTGCCTTAAACCATTTATACTAGGTTTGCTGTGATTGTAGAGAAGTTGCTCTCACAATGCGCGAGAGAGTCTTTGAAGACCATGAAGAACAACAGATTGACATTTATGATGTGAAGGTGATTTTTTTTCTTGCATAAAGACTCAATGCCTTTTCAATGTTTCAAATATGGATTTAAGAACTTAAATTGTCTGAAATGAGGATACCCAGAAATAATATAAATTTACTTTTATACATTAGCTTTACTATTATATGCTCTAGGTTTTGGTTTAAAACTGCCATCACCAGCAAGTTGATAATTATTAATTACACACTCAGGAAAACTGCTAGCCCCCAATTAATATACTTAATCTCTCTTTGGTTAGAGTTACTTATGCCACTCTTATCTTCTTGGTCTTTTCATTTAAGTGCAAGGAGTGGGGATTTTTGCTGAAGAAGCTGTTTGGTTCCCATCTCGGCACTGGTGATTATGGATACCTAGTCGTCGATCACAGTGCTATGCTTCTTCGGCACTTCCGCTCTTTCTATAAGTACTCAGGGCATGGATTTGAGTCCTCCCACAAGCTACACCGCCAATTGTATTCTAAGGCAACAAACCATGATGCATCTGGGCCCAGCCAGTCTTGTAAGTTAATAAACATTTATTTTGATGCTCATACAATTATGAAAAAATGCACATATTAATGAACATCTTATTTGGATGGCTGTAGAACTTATCAAAATTTCACTTTTTCTTTCCAGTGAATCAAATCCTTACCCACTGGTATGCAACTATGCTGCTATCCTTTTGGTACTCATTCTATGAAGCACGAAATTGTATTAGTGTAGGTGGGTATAGCTTTTAATTTATATGTAAATAATTATAACTTCACAATTATTTAATTCTGTTTCAGTGAGATTTTTAGTTTACCCTTTTTGAACTTTTAAAATATGGTGACACATAAAATTAGCCCTTACGTTATAATTCCTTTTTTCCCACAGGAAAAAGAACATTTTCCTACCATGGATGTGGTTGGAAAAGTATGAGTCATGATTTAAAATCATGGACTGAAGAAAAGAAATCCTGGGTGTTTGTTCTTAATGATCTTTTTGAGCAAATGTTTGGAACTAACTTTTTAACCTACTGTTTTGACAAAGATCATGGAACTAAAGTTGATGATTCCAAAAAATGTGAAATTTTTTAATACTATCATGAGTACTGGGAGAAGCATTTCTCCAGAGAAAGTCCAGAGCCACAGGACGATAGCAAGCATCTTTGTCATCCCAGAATCCATCTTAATTCACATGCCAATATTCATCCGCAACAGCCAGCACCAAAACGAATTAAATTTGATTCTCTTGATTCAACTTCATCTAGCATCTACCAGCCATCCACGTCAGAGCTTAACTTTGCTGAAATGCTTGAAGCCCAAGATGACTCCACACATATAAAGAGCAGCCAAACATCCTTAAAGCTTGTTAGTGACACTTCTGTTGTTGTTGGAGATGATAATGTTCCTAAAATGCCACAGCAATGTGCACTTAGAGCTGCAATGGCTAAGCAGAGCAGAACATCCTTGTGAAGGTGACATCCAGAGGGCTCACCAAATTTTGTACAATGAACGAAAAGCTGGTAAGAATCCTTGTGGCATCAAGATTGAAGGTATTGGGCAGTTCTCTTAAAATGCCTTATCTATCTTACGG